CCTTGTCCTTCATTGGCTCCGTCCCTGAGTATGCCCTAAGGAACAGGCGAGTCTTAAGGGAATGTGGCAGTTGTATAAAGGGTCCGATGATGGTGCAAACACTATAAATATGCCAAAAAAACTCATTTGACAGTAACCCAAATGCTAATTTTCCTAGGAAAGTAGAAATCTTGTATAATCATGTATTGATTCATTAATGTAATGTAACTACTTTTAGCCTAAATGCAATTCTAAGAGTTGCAAACCTTTCTTGCCCTGATGTTCTTCAAGCTTTGTTCTAGCTGGCTACCAATCTCTTGAAGTTCCTCAACAGAACATGAGCCTAATCCTTGACCCAATAGCTTCCTGTATAACATCAAAATTTCAAACTTTAGAAATCCTTTCACCTCGATTAGATAAAGTAACATGACATAAGGATTAAATCGTTGAACCTTTTAGAAACTTCCAGGAACTCAATATTCTTAAACATATTTGCTGTCTCAATCATCAGGTGCTGCACTTTGAAATTGTTTTGAGGAAACCGAGAGTATTGTTATCAGCTGTGGGCTAGTAATTTATTATAATTCAGGAAGCAAGTAGTTTGATGAGAGCAATGAAGACTAAATGTAGATTATATATAGAGAAATCCAATCATATGTATCAAAGAATCAACCCGCAAAAACTACTTAAAACGAAAGATTGCATGGATTTGATAAATACTTGGAATGATTTGCTGAAATTGATGAAGAATTATAACCGTATTTTGGACTGCCCCCTTGGCAACTTGTTTCTAGGAGACTAGAATAAGCACTTATCTGAGCTTTGAAACTCTTCACTTCCCAAATCTTGGATTTAAAGTCCGAACCATGAAATAAACAATGGGAAACTATGATTTAACTACAAATGGTTTGAGGTAAGTCAACATAAAGACTTGAGATTTTGGGTATGTACAAATAAAAATCTGAGATAACAAAATGTGCATATAAACTTATGGGATTTGCACTTGATATGGATAACCACTAGAAATTCCTTAAAGGCCCTTAATTTAAAATAATGAGAAGAAAACAAAAGTGAGGGTATTTATTACAATTCATGTAACTTAAAGTGATTATATGCACCTAATACATAATTCAAGTCCTTATTTGCACATTTTAAAATCTCAAGTCTTTATGTGTACCCATTTTAAAATTACATATCATATGCATATTTTAAAATATTGGGTCTTTTTATTCACTAGTCTTAAACCACAAAAAGCTAAAATGTAATTTCCCGAAAAACAATAAAAGGAGCAGATTGGCAACCAAGTTAATTGTCATTTTAATCAACTGTAACTTAACTATGTATCATTCCTTTCCAAATAGAATTATATTATATAAAATATCATCTATGCTTACGTCTAAATGTTCACGCTAGCTGCTCCTTTTCATATAACTCAGATTGTGTAAGGATCCTCAACTAAAACACCAAACCTTACAATTTGCTTTCTTAACTATAATTGTTTCTGTTTTCTATGAAAAACAAATAAATTTTGAACTTCCCTTTTCTCGGAAAAATATTCAAGGATAATCTGTACAATGAAAAATGGAAGTCTAACCTGCGTGCGTTGTTCCATTTCAAGCTTGTGAATTGGAATTTCTTTTGTATACATAGAGTATCGTTCAATGGTCCTTTGCATGCTGAAGCATTTCACCAAAAATGATTTATGTCATCAATCCATGTTACCAGTTTCTTAGGAATGAATGAGACGAACTGACAAGAAAGCAGATACATCCTATCAGCGGATGGCAGACAAGTTACTTGCCTCGACCCACCCTCTAAGCCTAAAAGATGAATGCCAGGAATGAAGATATATGCATCCAAGTTCACAGAATGGTCACCTCAAACAAGTTATAACTTAAGACTACAAACTTAAAACTCAAGAATAACGAATTACAGGCATTTACATTGAAAGTAAAGGAAATTTAGGTTTTATTATTATTATTATTATTATTTATTTGGCTCTTTTAACTTGTTTTACAAAGGAACTTTGACATATGAATGCCCTATTTATAGGGCATTCCACTGCCATTGAAAAATTTAGCATGCAAATTCAAAATCTTCTAGCATCCTGTTAAAGTTAGATTTAAATGATAATTGGTTTGTGAATTACAATTTTGAGTCTGAATTTGAAACTAATCTTCAATTTAAGTACATTTGTTTGCTTTTGTAAAAAAAAAAAAGAGTAGATTAGTGAAAAAAAAATACATTGTCAACCTCATAAATCTCATATCTATGTAAAACTTACATATATTTAAATAAGGATAATGATTGATACACTCTTTAGTTCAAGACATTTTACAATACAATTATTAAAAAATTATTACTTTCAAATTTCAATTCAAGTTAGGAAATCTTTCTTAATGGATATACTGATGGGTATTGGCAAGAGTGTTAAAGTAGAGGATGTACCAATCATTTTCCCTTAAGTAATATACATATGATTCCAAAATGGTAGAAGTTACATTTCAACCAAACAATATATTTTCAAGACATAAAAATCAAATTTACCTTACCAAATTACAACTGAAGAAACATATTTGAAAACAAATCTCACTTTTAATAGTTATTTTTCATTGCTAATTAAAAACACTACAAAATATATAAAAGCTTATCAAATTTTTAACTTTAAGGAGGTAATTAATTGCTACAAGAAATAAAATGTAGTCCATTCAAAAAAGGATATATAAATATAGAGTATTATGTAAGGACAGTGATTGGTACACACTCAGTTCAACACACTGTATAACACACTTATTAAAAATCACTATTTCTTGGTCTAAAATTAAAAGTAGACAAGTTTAAAGGTATAATCATGTGCACAAAATACAAGAATCGGTTGAATTGATTGTATTTATATTATATTTTTAATAGTTAAACTAAAAGTGTGTCAAAAAATGTGTTGAACCAAATATGTACTAATCATTTTCCATTATGTAAATAGCACAATATAAAGATTTATGAAAGAGATAAAAATCAACATGGTATCACAAATATGAGGAAATTAAAATTGTAAAAACCTAGGATAGTCCTTTAAAAAAAGTTAGTTGTGTCACTATTGGTAAAATATCATTGGTCATGAACGGTGACAATGGATTAGGTGAAGAATCAATTTAGAGTGGATGGTGTAATTTTACTTTATAAAATTTAGTATAGTCAAACATGAGTTTTTTTTAAAAAAAAAAAAAAAGAAGAAGAAGCAATTACACATATTGCAGCTAGAAGTTGGTTCTCAAAATTTAACATGGATCTTATATACTCTAAACCATTAGAGAACCTTATATACAACCCTAGAAGATACCCCAAAAATTAATTAAGAGTTTGAAATTTTAAGTTAGAGATCTAAAATTTAAATTTTGAGATAATGGGAGAAGACTATCTCATATTATATGCATACCCCATCATCATATATATGTATATATATAATATATATACATATATATACAAAGAAATTGACACTAATCGGTAGATATTCCAGTTCAACGTACTGTACATTACACTTATTAAAAAACATTATTTTCTAATATAAAATTCAAGGTACACAAACTTAAAAATGCTATCATATATACAAGATGCAAAAACTGACTGCATCAAGTTATATTATATTTTAATAGCTAAATTGAACAAATGTCAAAAACTGTGTTGAATCAAATGTCTATTAATCATTTTCCCAAAGAAATAAAAAAGGGAA